TTCTATCGAGAGGAAGTGATGTTCAATTCGGCCACGACATCATCATCAACTTCCAACTTCTTGTATTGCTCAACCAATTGCTTAGTTCGCTCAATCCCCTGGGAGGCGTTGAGCTTTTTAGCAGCTATTCTCGCCTTGCAGTCGTCCATTTTGGCTTGAAGTTCCTTCATCTGAGCAGCCAAACTAACCATCAAAGAGTCTTCAATCATGACTTCGGAAGAGATCTCTTTCAACTCATCCTCAGCCTTGTTGATCTCCAGACGCAGAGACTCTTTTTCTGATACGGCGCGAAGATATTGAGTACTTTTGGCCTTTAGTTCAGCATTCTTGGCTAGCAAGGAAAGGACCTCAGAGTGGATAACCTTCAACGTCGCTTTAAAATCGACAGAAAGATTGAGCGACGGAAGCGTCAGTGCTTGCTCCAACTTCGCATTCAAATGCTCAAGTTTATCATTATGTCTGGCAGCACTAGCCCTACCAATGTCCATATCCATGAAGGACATGTACTCAAATATCGACTGCTTGAGGAACTTCAAATCTTCCTCTGAAGAAGCAGCAGGACGATCAGATGGAGTAGGGCGAGATGTCTTGACTTGCCCCCAGGAAGCGAACAAGTCTTGGATAGAACGCACAATCTTGTCAGCATCCTGCAAAGAAAATTGCCAATATTGAAGATTCTCACTACAACGAACAAAATGGAAATAAAATTGAAGCAAAGATTACCTTATCAACAATCGTGGAAGATGGCATGTCCTCAGCCAAGCCTGCCACTAATAACTCCTCCATTCGTGAGGACTTCCCCTTGTCTGAGCGAGAAGATGTTGCCACAACAGACAGACTCATAGGAGTATCTGCAGAACTCAAGAGCAACAAATCAGAAACCAATAGCACAAGCAAAGGTAAGGCATCAAAAAACTGAATTACCTTCTGCTTCGATGTTTGGGGGGTTGACGCCCTGGGAAGAAGGTGGCTCATCCATGGGTTGTGATGAGGATTTTAGGACGGAAAATGTCTCTCTAAGTGTAGTCCCCTCATCAACCGGTTTGGATGAAGCAGCCTCAGCAAAGGATGATGGAGCAGAAGATGCCGATGCCAAAGCTTTTAAAGGAGAAGCTGAAAATTTCTGAGGAATCCAAATAAGTCATCAACACATAGAAAAGTTTCAAATATGGAAAAATATGCTTGTGAGTAAACCAATTTAATTACCTTCCTCCTGACGATAAGAGGAGTATCATCATCATCATCATCATCAACATCATCCTCCAGAATGGGAGATGCTGAGGCTGGCCGTTTGCGGCTTGGGGCACTCTTGGTTGTAGTAGGCTTGGCAGGGAGAGAAGAAGATGGACGAGCAGACTGTTTAGCGCGACGAGAAAGAGAAGGACTCCGGATGGACAAAGGAGTGACTAAAACAGGAGGAGGGGAAGAAATGCTTGGCTGGTCCAGTGGATGAAAGGCACGATTGACATCAGTCGCAAACAATCTGCTCTTCACTTACGTCCAGAGCTGTTTAAAAAGAGAATGGATGGCGTGGCTAGAATTGAAGGGAGCTAATGAAAAATAGCTTGTTAAGAGAAGATTGCGAGCATTTATAGCCTCTGCCTCCGCCTTATTAATAATACGAAAACGGTCAATTAAATTCCTTGAATAGCAAGGAGGAACAGGCCAAGTTTGGCCAAAACCAAGCTGGCGAGCAAAAAATTGGGGAGCATAAATTTCTACCCCTGCCTTAGCATTGGTCCCAGTTAAAATATCATGAAATAGCTCCCTTCCGGTTAAAAACTGGATCCAAATGGGCGGGGAGGTGCTCGCGCTATCTATAGTGGAGGGGGATGTACATAATTTGGAGTCAAAAAAGGAGGAAAAGGAAAAAAGGAAGAGATTGAATCCAAAGAATAAAAGAATGAAAAAAGTCCCTTCTGGACATATTTACAAGAGCCAAGGGCTCAATGGCTAGCCCATTGCAGCTAGCAGAGGAACGAGAAATTGATGGAGCACCAAACAATGGAAAATAGGATCTCAACCACAGTTGAGTGAACCAAAGAGGTCCACTGCCAGTGGGAGATACACCATTCTTCAATTAAGTTTGAAGAGAGGCCATGCCTCTATAAAGGGTAGCCAAAAAGAAAGAATATAAATTCAAAAGCCTGCCACGTGCCAATTCGTGCGCTATGGGTAAATAACTTAGGGAGGGCTTTATGCTTGGCACACACAAAACATATTTACAAAGACAAACTAGAAGAAAGGCCACCCGCTCAGTATGGGAAGGCTCAGCGCTCGAATGATTGTAAAGGGTTTGCAAGCTTGAATAAGATTCAGTTTACCAAACTTTGGGGCGCCACCAGAAACCAAGATACCAGGAAAAATGGTATCGCCCAAAGGTGGTAGATTCACTAGGGCCCCAACATCCCTTAAAGTAATAGACATGGGGCCAAGAGGGAAAATAAAGGTATTATACTCGGAAGACCAAAAACTCAAAGCAATCGAAAAAAGTGTTGAATCAAAAGTAGGGGGACGAATAGAGATTTCTAACAAATCAGAAATCCTAGCATTATCAAAAAGTGGCTTAGTAGGACCATGGCCCACAAGACGAGCATGCCACCTATAGAAAGCTACATCAGATTTAGGCCAAGTGCGAATACCTCTTTCGCGAAGTGGCCCCAGCGACAGAGAGTTTAGAAATGGAAGGCCTTGAGTACAAGGAAACAGCTGACCCACCGCCGCTTGTTCAACTGCCTCTGCATTGTTGAAGAAAGGACCTAAGTAGAACTCATTGCATTCGACATCGGCGGGCGCGAGAAAACTCTGAGTTATGTATGGACGACTCAGAAGTTTCTGAAAGTCATCAAAACTAAAGGAGTCGCCAGCTTGAGATTGTGAAGTAGCCATTTGAGATGGAACGAAGTTTTTCAGAGTTACGTAGCAGAGAAGCAAAAGATGAACAGTAAATCGTGGGAGAGACGCGAAAAATTGAGGCGTGATTTAATGGTGCAGTGAAATGGCGTGTTTGGGGGTTATAAGAGTTTGCAAAACGATGCACCTTTTCAAGTTATGGAAGAAAACAATGATTGAAATTCTTGGAAATCTCGAATGTCGCTGGAAACACAAAGTGAATATAGCAAAATTTAATAATTATTATTAATTTTGCCATATTGGGGGGTAATTGTTGACACATAAAAATTCAGCTCAAATCGAACGGCCCAAAGAATGAAGCCCAATTGGAGGATCCCCAAATCAGATAGCCCAATGAACAAAACTCAATCAAACAATTCAATATGAAGGCCCAAATAGGGAGGCCCAAGAACGCGGTAACGCCATCGCCCAAGTTTGCAAGTCGCCCAGAATCTGAGCGAATGGAGTGCCATGCAATCGTCCAGAGCCGTTACTCTATTCTCGCCCAAACCTTCAAGTCGCCCAAGGTCTTAACAAATATAAAGCGTTGTGGTTATCAAGAAGTGCAGTTATCAAAGCAGTTATTAAAGTGGCCCTATCACGTTCCACGATTCAAGCAATTCAATCGAATACGGTTGAACTACGAAGAGTAATGACAACAGTTAAAAAAGGCAGTTTTCATGACAAGCTGGCCATTACGAGGAAAGTGGGCAGTTGTAGAACGATCAAGCAGTTTTTAGGCGGTTGATCACAAAAAAGATCATCCATGGAGTATAAAAGAGAGAAAAGACATAGAGTAAAGGACCGAATCAAAAACTCTCGAACAGAGAACATGTAATTTTAATTTCCTTAACTTAAACTTAAACACTTTTTTCAGTAACTCGTGTGCTTGCGCCCCTTGGAGGCATTTTGTTTTTGATTTTCAATTGTAAAATCATCGCCAATAAAAGAACACCCCTTTTTGGGACTTTGTTTCAAGAGGTTTGTCTCTTACACAATCGTCTGATCCCTTTTAATTGTTAGCGACTAACCCGCGCGAAACATATGTAAAGAAAATAAGTAATACACAATTAAATTGTCTAAAACTTATTTGTAAGAAAATTGTCGATTAAATATTTTTGATTAACTTAATTTTTAATTTAGAAATGTCAAACTTTTCCATAAAGTTGAATTTTAAAAAAGTGCAAATTACCTTAAAAATAAAAATCCTACACCCGAAAGAATATATTTTCCTTCTTTTTGAAGAAAACATGATTACATGTCCAACTTTTGAAAAATATTTTCCATAAAAAAATACCAATCAAACACTCCTAAAGTAAGAACTTCGATGGAAAAAAATAATATTTTCCATAAAAAATAAAACCAATTAATCACATTGTATTCCTATGCTTCTTACTAAAACTTGGTTTACTTACATTTTAGCTTCTCCGCATTGAGTGGTGTTTTCATTCTTTGTCATCAAGAAATAATAAGGCTATGTTTGATAGCCACTTATTTTCTAAGGAAAATGAAAAATAAATTCTAACTTCCACTTTTGACTTGTTTAATTGACAAAAATTTTCAAGGAATTCGTTTTTTTCACCTTTGGTCACCACATCAGCATTTTCTAGCTTTTTTTGGAATTCAAATTCTCGTAAGAATTCGTTTTTCGGGTTACTGTAGCATTCTTTTTTCATTTTTTATTTATTTTTTGTTGCATTGACAATGAAAATAAATTCTAAGAATTATTTTTAAAAAATATTTCTCTTTAACTAACAATTTCCATGTAAAACAAAGTGAAACAAATACCAAAAGATAAATGATTTTCTTGATTTTTTTTTTTTATTTTTGCTTGACAATTGAAACAAATTCCATCCCTTATACTAGTAAATTATATTCCTTTAATCGAAAATTTTTATGTAAAACAAAGCCAAAAGAATACTAAAAAACAATTTTATTTCAACACTTTCCACGTGAAAAATTATATTAATCAAACACAATAATTTACAATTCCCAGGAAAACAATTTCTAAGTAATTCAATTCCCTGGAATTTGTTTTCAATTCAATTCAATTCCGTCTTTGTAATTAAACGGACCCTAATTCTTTTTTCAACAGCACAAGAGAATAATATCCAAAGTGCCAAGAAATTTAAAATCAACACAAATGCTTTTAATAGCGAGCAAAAAATGGTACGGGTTAACAGACGAAACTCCTCAAAAGTTCGTCTTGGCCAACATGTTTATATGCAACGATGAAGCATTAGAGTTAAACGATAACATGTTCGCAATAATGCCTTATTAATCAATTAATAACTTATAATAACAGTTTCAAACCAAAAGGTAAAATGCACAACCAATCTTGACATGGTTTTGTATTATAGAGGCCCTGGGAATGTTCCATTCTCCCTCTGCTCGTTCCACTTCTCAACCTGCAATAACCAAAAAGGTCAATGAAAATCAACAATTAATTTTCAACTAAACGGGGAAAATAGAAAGAAAAAGAAATAAACAGATACAAAAGCTGCAGACTGCAAAGAAGTAATAGCAGAAAATTGTTTGTGCTATTGTAGCACCAAACGAACGTTTACATTAGTCAGCCAAAGGATAAACAACAAGATCGACTGGTAGACCACTCAGTTGTTAACTGAAAGCATGTCATGGTTTTAAATTCATATCAGGACAAGTCATCTGCAAACTACTGGAGTATCATAACCATGCTAAAGCATAGCCCATAGGGAATGGATTCAATCACTTGATTTTACAAGTTCACAGAACATCAAATAGCAACAGAACAGAAAAATGTGAACATTACTATTATAATGATAAAGATAAGAATCAAAATCCATCAAATTACATCACACAATTTAGCCATGGGTGCCCTACAAATTTAGAGAACCAAGTGCAAGTTGCCATGGATATGGGAGTGTGACAAAATGGTTTGGCTTTACAAGATATGTAGTCGAAGGAAAAAATGATTTATATTACAATTGGCAAGATTGTTATTATTATCATCTAGCTTTTTATCTATAAAATGTAATTGAACATGAAGGAGGTTTATTCGTTCTTTCTCACTATAACCACCTACCAAGATGAACATAGATGTTTGCGGGAACACGGGGCTTTGGAGTCAATAGAAGAAAATGGGATTTTTCAACCTATACGTACAAAGAAAATAATTGACATTGAGTATAGCCTAAGTTTTCCTTTACTTTCTCGCAAAACCAAATCGTTTCATCAAACTCCCATATCCATGTCCACATGCCCTTGCATTAATGCATACGAAAGGCACTTTCGTTCACGACTTTGCCAGGTATAAATTCAATGTCTAGCTCTATCTCCACAGCAGTTACCATTAATTCTTCCCTTTAGTGAGTCTAGGTATTTACTCATTCTAAAAGCTTTGAAGAAAGGCTGAAGGGTAAAATCTTCTTGGGAGCACTGGAAATGGCTTCAGTAGAATGAGATCTCGTTAATCATCCACCACCTAATAAACACCGATCGGTGCCTTATCTTATCATAACACATACTGATATGGTGCAAAAAAAAGTTACTTTTTATTTATTAAAAAAAAAAAGGGTTAGTAATACAGAAAATACATATGCCCCTGTTTGGTGAAAATTTAAATCAAGATTTTAATCCAAGTCAGAGTTAACAATTTATGAGACCCACTACTTTTCAAAGAACCACACATTTCATCAATTTCTACCAAAAATCTGATTTTAATTCCCACCAAACAATGGCATATAAAGGAAATATACTGTAATAACAAATAGGGGAGGCTTCAGTGTGTGTAACAATAAGTTTATTACCAAATATTCATTTATTGCTGTATTACTCTCACAGACCAATTAAGCGCTAATATTTGACCAGGTATTAAATAAAAAATGATGAAGATTGTGTGTATGAAAAATAGAACGCATTTGATACCCTTACAGGTCACCATTGAACTTGATGTGAACCTAATTGATGCCTTAAGTTCGGCCATTGACATGAATATAACCAAATTCTGTATCTGACAATTAATAAGTACTTCTCCCCAAGATATTAACGCATGAGATTCTCATGGCCCTGCAATGCGTTTAGTTTTAGGCTTCAAGAGTTTTGCACGAAGTCCATCTCAAAACTTAAAACAAAGTAGGATCCTTGGCAGTAAACATTTTCTTTGATGTAACAAAAAGTTGGGGGGGTGGGGGGGGGGGGGGTGGAGATCGAGAGATTGAAAAAGGAAATAACTCGTCTTTCATCATCATATAGAGAAAAGGTCCATATTTTGAACTAAGCATTGAGCTAAATGGGCTTCAAGAAAAATATATTACGTCAAAAATAAAATAATTTTTTCTTCATCACTTGATATCTTAAAAATGATCTCACTTGTTCATACACACGCAATTCTGAATTTCTTATAAAGGAGATCTGCATAGTCAAACACAAATGTATGCAGTTATAAGTAGGACCAACTACGAAGTGCGAAACATGGGTTATTTATGTTTGTGTGTGCATATGGGATAATACTTGTGTTTATTTATCATAGCACCAAAAAACCAAAATTTTAAAATCATATTGCACCAATTAAAGACCATGATTGTCTAAGGAAATCGACCCAGTAGCATATTAACTCACCCATTCGCCAGGGCAAAGGGAACGATAGTACCTGGCAAACTTCCCACAATCACCGGATTCTTCTCCCTTAGCAGTAACACACCTGACAGTAAACACACAGTTAATTAGTTCCAGGTAAAAGAAAAATTATACACATTTCTTTTAGAATCACGTACAGCTAAACTTCAGCTTCTTTTTATGTTTTTGAAGCCTTGCAGGTACATTCGTCTATCAAGAGTTGCAGCCTGTATCAAACTTTTGGGCACCCTATCATGTCCAGAGCACAAACGCCAAACGAAATAGCCCTAAACTCATCCTATCAACTAAGCTCATGGAATAGCATGCTGCTGCCACAGCGACACCCAAAAAAAAAAAAAAAAAAAAAAAAAA